AAAGAGGGGGGCGGGCAGGGCGCGCAGTGCGGCGTTGGTCGTTCTCGTACGTTGTTGGTCGTCGCATGTCGGCATGGATGATGTGCGAGGAGCGGAAGAGCAAGGGGCCCAGCCAAAGTCCGACGGCCCCTCTCTTCCTGACTGTGCTGCCCCCCTTCTCCATCCAACACATCCCCCGCCAACAACCAACAGGGAAGAGTGAGAAAAAAAAAGAGGTGTCATGCCGGTCTTTGCGTCGTTAAAAATAATGATGAATGATGGCTGCTTCCAACACAAACAAAAACAAGGCAGGCCGTGCCCCTAAGCCACGTCACCCCAGCAGGTCTATGTGTTGCGGCGCTGCTTGCACTTGTCGTGGAGGAGGTGGCCGTTCCGCGCCGTTGTTCTCGTGAACTCGGCTCCACAGTTGGGGCAGGTCGCCTTGGCTGCTTGGCCTGACTTCTCGCGTTGGTGTCTGAGGAGGTTGCTAAAGGTCGAGAACTGGCGGCCGTTGCAGCCGTGCTCCCAACATTGGGGCTTGGGCCGGCTCTGCACCACCCTCACGTGCCCTCCCTGGTCCGCTCCGGCTCCGGGCGCCATCGAGGGCGGCACGCCGTACATCATCGGGTCCTGGCTGACTGACAGTGGAGGGCGGCTGCTAAGAGGCGGTGTGTCAGCTTTCCTGCCCTGCTGCTGCTGCTGCTGCCAAAAGTAGTGGCCTCGGCCACCACTTCTCGGTTCGCTGCTCACGTACCCGTACTGTGCTGGTGGTTGGAACTGGTTGGAGTAGTCCATGCCGCCCATGCTGTAGGCCGGCGCCATCGGAGGGTACCCGCTCTGGTAGCCGTGGTCTGACAGCGGCGGGCTGTAGGAAGGGAGGTATGACGAGCTTCCCATGGTGGTCGTCGGCTCGGCGAGGAGCGAGATCGGGGCTGGCGCGGTGGTGTAGACGGGAACGCCCATCGTGCTGGAGACGTCGGGCATCGAGAGCGGTGGCGAGTGGATGTAGCTGTTGCTGCCGGCTCTCCTTACCCGTTGAGAGGTCTTTGAGTCCCGGCGCGCCTGGTCCCTCTGCTTCTTCAGTTCCCGCTGCTCCGGCGTCATGACCCCCCTTGGCGGGCTGGCCGTCACCGATCTCGATCCGCTGGGCGGTGTGAGGCTGGCGTCTGAGGAGCCGAGAGATGCGAGGTTGTGGCCGAGAAGCGTCCCGCTTGATTCGCCGCTGTGTTCGAGGCCTTTTGGTTATGCATGTTAGAGGCACGTCCAGGGATGAGCTGTTGTTGGGAGGGGAGAGGGGGGAGCTGATTTACCAGGCCAGGTGAATGTTGATCGGCTTCCCATGGTGAACGTGGGGTCGAATGGGATAGCAACAGTGCTGGGAAAGAGACAAAGTGTTAGAGAGACTGGTCAACGGTTTTCAACGTGGTTCAAGGTCCGGGAGCGCACCTCATGCTTGCTCCGTGTGGTAGTGGCGGCGATGAGGATGGGTGGTGGTGAGAGTAGGTGTCCTGGGCCGGGTCTACTCTGACTAGAGGCGTCGAGTTGGAAGGGTGCTGTTGGTGGTGTACCTCGTTGCTGTCGTTCCACTCTGCATTCAAGATCTCGGGAGGCAGGAGGGGGAAAGGCGAGTATCCTTGGGAGCTAGAGTTGTTCGAGAGGAAGGTGGCCGAGCTGGGCGGGTTGGGACTGATATAGCCGGAGGAATGGAGAGCCTCGGACCTGATGGAGGGGCTGGACTCTATCGGCAAGGTTCTGGGGGAATCGACGAGCTGTATGCTTGCGAACTGAGCAGTGGTGGCTGATACGCGGCTTCCTGCTCGGGATCTGGGTGGAAGTGAGTAAGAGTTCTCGCAACCCTGCTCGGAATAACTGGAAGCCATTGATAAAGAAGAAGGACGGCTAGGAAGAAACTCTGGATGGCACATACGGACAAGGTGGTGAGGGTCCAAGGTCGATGATGTTGTCAGTGTCGATGGAGTGAGAGTGTGTGTATGTGTGTATGTCCAAGCGCCGTTTACGGGTGTATGTGTTGTTGGTATGTGATGTGGCCAAGTGACGATGTATCGGCGAGGCGGAGGAGAGTGAGAAGGACTTATAACAGACCAATGTGAATCAGGCACCGAAGTTTTGAAGTCTGGAGAAGGAAGGATTGCTTGCTTGCTGGCCGGGTGGAGGCTTTCGGTTCAACTGAGATCACAGATGCTATACTTGGACATCATCAGAAGGTTAAAGATCTCAGCCTCACAGGTCCAGGAGCGGGCACTGGTCTTATAAATGGGAGTGGGCAGTGAACGACATGTAGTAAGTAGCGTGTGGAGTTATGGTATTAGATCCCGACCTTGTGTCGACGTACCGTCTGGCCATGCAGCAGACGGAGGAGAGATGGGCATGTTCGAAGACAAGCTACACTGGATGGAGGTAGGCCCAGACGTGGTGGCAGGGGTTCGAGGACGAGAGATAGATGGGATTATGGTGACCAGGATGGGGGAAGATGGGTACGGAGGTACAAGCACCAGCACCAGTGTGTGAGGAGGGGGGTGTGGTCCCAACGGTCGAAGAAGGGGAGGAGGGTAGGGGAGGGGAGGGGGGTGTTTTACGGGAAGAGGCGTATGTAGGACTCCCCTGGGGGTGTGTGTGTGGGGGATGAAGAGACGGAGAGGAAGAGAGGCAGAGGTGAGCAAGTGCGGCGTAGAACGAGGAGGTGTGTGTCTTTGCGTTGAGTCGAGAGTGTGACATGCAATACCCAGGACAAGGACTCTGGGGACAGGGCAGGACAGGACCTGCTGGTGGAGTGAGGGTCAAGTGCAGTCAAAGGTGTCTCTCCCACTTCTTCCAGTGTCCAGGCCAGAGGCAAAGGCAAAGGAAGAGAGACCCAGAAAGACTACCAGAGTGATGGGCAGACGGGCACAGTCCAGTCTCCAAGTCCGCCTACCTGTCTTAGCAATTGAAGAAAAGACATGGGGCTGTGGCGGGGACGGGGAAGGGATCGATAGGCTCCAGCATTTTCTGCAAAAGCATTGGCAGCCGCGGTATGAACGCCCCGGTCAGTACCCTCAACGTCCCTGCTTGGGATGGGCTGCAGGGCTATGGCTAGCGTCCTTCACCCTCGCAGCCTTCATATGCAGCAGAGGAACACACAGAAAGAGAGAGAGAGAGAGTTGCTGCACACCCGGCTAAGGCCAGACAGGCAAGGCAAGACGACAGGGCAGGGTATCCGTACCGGCAAGGAAAGGGTAATAAGAGGCAGGGAGCGGTATCCGTACCGTACCGTAGGTACCTGGCGGGGAGGAGAGGGGAGAGGGGAGAGGAGAGATGACAATGACATCGCTCAAGCCCTGGCTGGCCTCAAGGAGACGGGCCACTGGGTCCTGAAGGGCACCTCGCGCTCGCCTTTACTCTTTCCCACACCAGCCCTGGAGGCATGTACACCAGGTACACCACTAAGCAGCCCGTAAACTACAGGGCGTGGGCGGGCCACTGGACTGGGGCGGGCTAACGTCGTAGTGTAGAACGGTACGGCAGCCCGTACCAGCTGGTCTGTGATCGGGACGAGTGGATAATTCGGTGACCTTATTCCCTGTTGGGGCAGCTGTTTCGACGTCGACCGGGAACCAGGGCCGTGCTAAGGTACTGCCATAGTAGTCCTGCTCTGAGGACCTCGTCCAGGCAGAGACCAGGCGAGAAAAAAAAAAGCAGATAACCTGTGGAAGACGAATCAATACGATCGAGAGGAACAGAAAGGAAGATGAGAGTGTGAGATTGCGAGATGCCCTCGAGGTGGGATCCTGGGACAGACAGACACTGGCTGACGGGCTGGGCTGAACCGGGTGCGTGTAAGAGGTTACCGAACAGCAGGCCTGGCTGCTTGATGCGCCAACGCCAGTGCCAATACCAACGAGCGCTTGCTTGTCTCTCGCCCTCCGCGCCCTCTCTCTCTCTCTCTCTCTCTCTGAGTGTGTGTGTGGCCTTCAGCTTGTCTTGTCCCAGGTACAGAGACTCGATGGACCCCAGAAGACGGACAGACTTGGGCCGGGAGCCAGTACGTCGGGACGGCGGTTTTGCGTAGCAAACCTAGCCCGGCACTGGCCAGCCAGGGCAAAGACATGATGCATGTTGGTCCGACGGGTTAATGTGTGTTATGATGCCTCTCTCATCAATTATTAATTATGTTTCCTTTTTCTCGCTCCCCGCCTGACCCCTTGGGCACAACCACGGCAGTGTCAGCTGGCGGATAGGACCGATGCAGAACACGCGACTGAAGAAAAGAATGTCTTCTCCTGGTAATCCTGTGCAATGTTAAAACGAACATCAAGACGGCCGCTCGGGACAAACCGTGGCCGACGGGGGTTCGGATTGGCGAGGCGAAGGAAGCAGCAGCAGCAATCACCAAAGGGTGATGTGCCTGGCAAGGGCACGGGGATAAGTAAGGTATGATTTGAGAGAGAGCAGCAGATGGGCTAGGTAGCGTCCGTCTCCATCAGGTTGCAGGACGGCGTCCATTAGAGAGATTACCCTCTCTTCTGCGGTGTGGTGGTGATGGCGCGCACTCGCGCTCGTCGTCTCGCCTCGCGAATGCCAGACAGCGGACAAGCGAGTGCGGGCAGGGCAGATGAGAGGGACATGGAAGTCCTGGGAGAGAGACTGGAATAAAGGATCGGGATCCCTGCCGATGCTCGTGCACTGGTTGGTGTTGTGGTGGAGAGAGAACACTGCTGAGAGAAAGGAAGGGGACAAAAAAAAAAAAAAAGCAGTCGTTCGTCGATAATCCGAAGTGGGGACGGCGTGTGGTCGGGACAGCTGCCGGAACGTACCGCCAGCTGCAAAGCGCACTAGTCGAATCGGGCATGGCGGGGAGTGCCTGGCAAGGAACCAGGAAGACCAAGGTAGAGAGCACCACCACCACCACTTCATCTACGGACCGCAAGAAAGCAAGGTGAGCGCAATGGTATCCGCAAGGTGAAGAAACGATACCCTGACTACGGCATCCGTACCTTATCGTCCGTGCCTGACCGCTCCGCATCTCATCGGCCTTGCCCTCCGAACCTACCTACGACGCAGCGTGTTCTGTACGGATACGGACTCCTTCTTGGCTTCCAACCCGACCCGACCACGTTGGTTTGTCTGGCGGAGCATTGGTGAGTCAACCGCCGCAAGGAACTCCTTACCCACCGTGTGTCTGACTGCCCGTAAGATCAGTGACTCTTGTCTGAGGCGGATGCTGCTCACGAGGTGACAGAAGGCCCGTTCTGCTTATTGAAGAACCCCGCCTTGGTTCGGTTTCCAATTGTGTTCACCCACTCCGAGCCCGTACGCCGTATCCGGGGAGAGACATGATGGAATCATCAGCCCAGCCAGCTCACCCGCTCGCCTCCCAGTGTACCAGAATATTCCTCACATGTATCCGTACTTGCGAGCCGTATCCATTCCTTGATGGGGAGTGCGGTGTCTATGACGGTGCGGTACGGGACGCAGCCAGGACCAACCCGGCTTTCTGCCCACCACGAGCACGCCAAAGTCCCTACGGACGTTAACTATGTCCATCTTGAATCCGACCGGCACCGGTGCCGCTGCGGCAAAGACAGCCAACCAACCCAACGCAGTTCAGCCCAACCTTGCCTCGATCGAGAAGGTTAGACGACGAGCGTGTGTAGCCGCAGCGAGTGCGCGGCATGCGCTAGGCGTTCTTGCACTGCAAAGCTGCAAGTGAGATGGGTGGTGGGTTGACCGGCGCTCGCCAGTTGGGCGTTTTTCTTGGGTGTTTATGGCTGCCTTCCACCACTGTCTGCACATGCTTCCTTTTTCTTTCAAAATTAGCAGGACACGGCGTGTTTCCACAGACGAACTGCTGCCCTTCAAGGCCTCCAGCCAACCACCAGGCGACGAAATTAGCTGCTGCTGGACGAACGAGCGAGTGATGAACTGCAAGGAAGAGGCTTTCCCGCGCGGGAAGATCACATAGCGTCCGTCATCAGCAACAACCTTTCCAGACGCCACACCGTAGCCGTCCTCCTCCTGTTCCCCTACACCTAATTCCTTATCGATTGTCGATTAGGTTGTGAGGCCCAAGTCCGTGGTCGACCGGAGAGACCATGAGACATGACAAGACGACCCAGTCCACTGGTGTGTCCTCTGCCCTGTGAATGCGTGCCTTGCCTTGCCTCGCCTCGCCTTGCCTTGGGTCCAGCCAGGTTCGGCCGGGGCAAGCAAGCAAACATCACTGAGGCCGGTTTTTGCTTTTCTAGGTCTTACTGAGACGCACCTGATTGAGTTGTCGATCTGAGCTGAATGGCGGACAACGGACTGACCGCTCCGTGCGGCCATGACAGGAACGTGTCGCTGGCTGTTGTCTGAACCCGACATCTGGTCGTCCTGACTGATGGCTGTCCCTGACACGTTCTAGAGCCCTTCAGGGTGGCCAGTAGCCCACGTACTCGTCGTCTGTCCGCCGGCTATCAAGGCATCTCATCTTGCTCATCCTCATCCGAGCACTTTCCAAGAATATCACGGGACCTGCAACGCCAAGCGCCCTGTGCTGGTCGTTGGCTGATATCAGCGCTTGATGTGCAGCTGGGGTTGTGGCTGTAGGGCGTAGGTGCCGACGGCGTGCAGCAGTGCCCATGCATGCACGGCATTGCCATTTTTGAGTTTGCCAGACCACGAACATTCCGATCATGGGCACTCGTCTGCCGTGTCGAGTCTTGAGTCGCGGTGGCTGGCAAAATAGGCACAGAGTAATGATTTGCTGCGGACCGGATGGTTGTAGTTCCTGTGGTTTAATTGCTGCAACTGCCTGCCCCGGCCCCACTTGGCCCTCAGGCAGAGAGATTTGAGCCTGCACCGTCGGGACCAGGTGGCAGGCAGTGCTGCTGAAATCTTCCGTCCAGCTACCCAGCTGCGCGGGTGCCTCCCTGTCCCCTGCCGTCAATGTTTCAAGCCCCGACGGCAACAGAGTTTCTTCTCTCCACTCGAGCATTGCCGCGTCTGTCATCGCACCGCTTGCACTGCCGTCACCACTGCAAGGCTTCAGCAACATCAGCAGCTTCCGCTTTGCTGGCGCCATCGTCCTGAACCTAAGCTGTGAGGCATCGTCGCCCACATGCTCCAGACTGGCCGGGCAACACCTCTCCCATGCCTGGGCCGCGCTTGATCCTCCTGCACCTCGTCAACCCTGTCGCTTCAGCTCGCCAGCCTTGCTCGTCTGTCTCGTCAAGAAACGCAGACGCAGCAGTCGCAGACGCTGCCACTCCAGCTCCCTCAGCTGCTGCTGCATCACCTGCCACTGCTTGGCTCTCTCGGTCCCGAGAAGCTGTCTGCTTGGGGGCCAGATTCTCGGTCCCGCCCTTGGTGTCGTTCTTGCCGCCATCTCCCAACGCCCCTCTCTCGGTGTCTTCCCGATCCCCCAGACATCACATGGCGCCGCCGACTGCACCTTGACGCCCCTAGGGCTGGGGGTCCCAGACATCACGCCCAAAGGCTTGCCGCATCTTTGCCGCGCTAAAGCCTGAAGCTCAGCAAGACTCGCCGTCTCACGTTTGAACAACGGATAGGGCTCGTCCGGCGTCCCTGGCGTCACTAAACCAGTCTCCCGCGCGGGCGTTCAACATTCATTCACCATGAGCCACGCTTCTCCGCACCCATTCTCCCGCTCAGCAGCAGCAGCAGTCGACAAAAGTCCCCTGCACCAAGACGCCATACCCACCTACTTTCGTCTCCAACTTTGTGTGTGTACCTGCGGGTCATCGAATGCTGCTTTTCTTTGCCTACGTCTGGTCGAATGACTACACCGCAACTGGATAGCAACAACACCCTCTCCAAGTCCGGCTTCTATTTGCGCGACCACCGGGGCCTCCCCCGCGTCCGTCAGCAGACAACACCCGCATAGCGGCACATACGTCAAATCTCCCACTACGGCACGTTGCGTCTCCCCAGGCTCTGGCAGTCCAGGAACAATAACAATATTGGAAGCACTCGGCCCTACCACCACCACAACTGCCACCATCATCACCACCACTCAACGGCGATCCCACTACTGGATATTGGAGAAGCACCATCTTGTGCCCTGCTATCGCCACACCCTTGGGCATGCTGTGCTGTCACCATCAGTGGCGTCTCAACTGTCGTGAGCCCACGCTGGCCTGCGTCGTTTCAAGTTTATCCAAAGACGTTCTCGTAGCTCCAGTCCCGCCCCAAAGCTGTAGATGGCTTTTCTGCGGAGTTCGAATCGCATCTGACCAGCGGCACCAGCACAAGCCGTGGCCTGGCGTCCCGAAGGCGTTGCATGTTCTAAATTAGACGGAGACACTAGAGCACGTCGGAGTTAACAGTGTGTATTTCACTGCTGCCTTGCGACTGGAAATGCGACCGTCGCTTTCAGGTCGGCCCAGAATAGGGCCCCAAGACGACCTTCGGACGACGGGCGCAGACCCAAATGAGGCCCGGGCTCAGGGACAAGGACAGCACCGAGAGCTCTCACCTCGAGTCCAGTCGAGCGGACGACGTCCGACTTGACACTTTGGACGGGGAGGGGAGAGCCAAAAGTCCAAACGCTGGTCACCGACGGTGCAGCTCATCACCCAAACCGGCCAGGAAAGACCCTGTCACCGCGGCACCAGCGATCCACAAGGCTTAGACCTTGGGGTTGGGACGGCATGCACTAAGATGTCGATGTTCACATCCGTCCGATTTCTCTGATGGGCAACCACTATGTCCGAAGTACCTTTGGCCACACACACCCAGCCCTCTCCGAACAGACCGGTCCATGCCCATCGCACCGCTTTGCTGGGAAGGGGTTGCTTGAGGGTGTGGACAATGAGCGTCTATTCAAGCCAATTGCCTCCTGCCCGCCAGTCTCCTTCATGCAGCGACGGCGTTCTAGCCGCGCACTGAATTGCCCCAAGCATGCTGGGTGGTCTGTAGACCGAAACGTGCGGCCGCTGCTAACCAACCAGACGAAGCCAAGGGAGCACAGGCGGGTGGTGATATGGACGAGGGCAGAAGCTAGAACACCCTCTGTGCCTTCGACTGCTGATGACCAAGGAGCCTGTCATGATTGCTTGCCTCGCTGGCAGCGACAGGATCGGCGAAACACACGCTCACGAGAGAAGCACGATATCCGACTTGGGACTTCGTATCACCAGGTGTCACTGACTCAAAACTTGACGTGCGAGGTCTTGCTGGGATAGCCAGGTCTACTGAGAATCTATTGGAGCTCGAGAGACGCCGGGGAACGAGTGCCCCTTTCCAGTAACGGCGACAGGTCGCGGATGGCTTTCTTCCAGCTAAACCCTGCAGGGCCGCGCCGTTGCAACCCATCTTACACAGCTTGCTCTAGGCATCTGGATAATCTTTGGGGGACCTTCCAGAATAAGTCGAGGCATCACCAGCCGACAACGACGACTTGACCAAACGGCACTTTGGCTGCGGTGTGTACACGCACAAGTGCAGGGTCCCCACGAATGCGTTCCCTGCCAAAGAACGAACCCTCTTCTGCGTCCACCAGGAAAGGACTAATCCGACCTTTTGAGTTCTCACTTTTGCGCAGGACAGCTACAAATTGCGCTCTCGTAAGGCTAACCTCCGCTGCTAGGCTGTCCTTGATTATGTGAGATGGGTCCAGAATGGAACGCACACAAACGGGAGGATCTAGGGAAAACGGCGTCAATCGTGTGGCTAGATATACGAATTGCCTTACTGGGAAAGCGTGCCCACTTTGGTCGTGCTCCCAGGTTCTTGCACATCCGGTCCGACAAGAGACGATCGATATGTGCAAGCCGCAAATCTACGGATCCGGCCGTCTACGGAGTCAGGCGGCTCAAAGCTCGTCTGGCCCCGCTGAGCACGGCACAAGCAGGTATCAACGCTGTTGTGATGGCTTCGGACGGCGTTGTTAAAGGCCCATCCCATCCCGGAGACCCTGTCGGCTATCCCAAAAGGGCATGTGGATTCGTGGAAGACAATCCGGAATTCCACACCAGCCCTCGCAATGGAAACGACAAAGGCCAATCAGCATCATCCTCACAGCTGGGTCTCTATACACGAGATAGCATACCCAATCTGAGGAGGGACTACCTGGAAGGCTTCGTTCGGTATTGACTGGCATCGTCAGAAAATTGTACTGCGCCGTTGACGAGCCGATGCGAGACGCGGAGAGGGCACAGCGGCACGGGTGGCCAGGCATACGCCGCACAGCACCCCTGCCCATGGAGAACTGCAACGATGGCTGCCACGTTGATGATTGCCCATCAAAATGGAGACTTGCTGAACCAGGACCACCTTGGCTCAGGCCGCGGGCCAGGACGTGTAAGCTCCGAGAGTTCGGGACTCGCCCAACGACACGGTCGGACAACATGACGGGTCCCAACTCCGACGACCAGCCGCACACCTTCGACGTAAATTGATCAATGAGGTCAAGCTTGATGACGAATACGCTAGCCCGCCCCCAGTTGCACAGACGCCAGCTTTTTGCCATCAAGATTGCACCGCGTGCGAGAGCACCCACTGGGCAATTAAACGCCGTTGGGAGGTTTCTCCTACGGGCGTTGCTATGCGCCCTTTGCCATAGGCCCATCAAGTCTGACAATCCGTGTCTGACTTGCACAGCACACGTTCTCGAGGACAACTGCCTGTGGGGCAATGTCTCTCTGCAGACTCCCTCCGCATTACCCTCACACGAGACACGGCACACGGCAGACGACACTGAACACTCCGCCAACTCAGATGCCGCAGTCACAGAGACATTCTGCCGCACGAGCTTCGAGGTGCAAAAAGCTGGAGACGCTCCTGGCTCTGTAATTGTTAGCGTCACCGACTTCTCTTCACATGCCGCAGGCGCATGGCCTCACGTCGCAGATGGAGACGGTATGTTGAGTCTCCACAAGCCGCAAGGTCCTTTTGCACGGAAATTGCCCAAAGGCGAAAATCGGCCGCTTCTCTGCCTCGCAACCACGGCCAATCACCCACACCCGCAGAATGCCTTATGATTACCACTTTGTAATGCGACTTCGGCCCCCAAAGTCGACAGTCAACTCACAAACTGTATCGGATGCTCTGCGCCGATCCGGACCATGTCCGCTACCCCAGATTCCAATCAATCTCGCCGTTCCGTACCAAAAAGTCGCCGAGCGGGCCATTCAAGTCTCCGATTCGTCAACCACTCAGTAGACTTTGGCTTCTGAGAGAGCACTTCCTCGAGCCATCACAAACGCGGCTCCCGGTCGTCGGCCTCAGAGCTCGACATTGAGATTGTGGTGAGCATCCCAGAGCTTCGTCGCATCAGCACACGGATGTGCTGGGCCCGGCTTGCGGGCGCTCCTCTGATCTGT